TTCATCGCGCAGGCTTCTGGACGCTTCTCCTTTTCCTGATAGTCATCTTATTTGAAACTGAAACATAGCCGGTGTTAAGGGGGCTCATCTCATACATTTTCATAGTTGCTTTATTTCTAAACTACAACGAAGGGCTATAACACACTGAACATTTGAAGCTAGACTGCATTATCTTTTTTTTTTTTTCTTCTGGTGAGACTTTTCTGCATCTAATTAATTTATAATGATTTGGAATGACTTGAGAGACTGGTCTGAGACGGTAATATCTCCAAGAGAATGAAACAAACAGGTGACAAATTTCTGAAACATTTTGCAATGAGCATGAAACTCGGGGCTTTCTCCAGAGGAGCAGGCAAATCAGTATGCAGATTTGAGAAAGGAGTGAGACAGGGTATTCTGCTGGTCTTTTCTTCCCTGCTTGAATACATCTGTTACGTTTTATTTCAGGGTTGATGGATTAGTCATGTGGTGTACTTGGATTAAATACTTGGGCTAAAGCCTCTCACATATTTGCCCATCAGCTTCACTTGGTGGTATATTTACATTCGGTCTGGATGCCAGATTGAACTAAATGCTTCTTTAAAGCCTGCAGTCTGACAAAAATCTTTCCCCAGTCAGCATTTTTACTGTATTAAAAAAAATTAGCATCTGCAGGGAAATGATGCAGTCTACAGGTTTCTTTTCTAGGGAAGAATCCAATTTAGCTTTTAGGGATGATGTTGTAATTGGTCAGGGAACCGAGGATCCTAACTGAGGCGGGAGCCTGGGCGGGGGGTGGATGCTCCAGACTCCAGAGCTTTCCTCGTCCCATCTGAGTCATCCTGCCCCCACCTGAATCACAGGACCTCTGGTTGATGGAGTGGTTGAATACTCTTTTTGAGGTTACGTTTTTGTGTAATCAGCAGTTTAACATTTCCCTGCCACCTGGTGGGGCCACACACACTTTATTTCCTGTTTCTTAGGTTTGAGAATTGTGTGGTCCCTTAATTTATTGTCAGCCAGTGTTCACAAGAAGGAAACCCATAGGTAACATGGTTTACTTTAATGATTTAATATTGAGAGGATGGCTCGAAGGAAGTGGATTTTCGAAGCACCTCACCACCACCGACCTGCTGTGTGATTGTTCTCAACATAAGAATGGGGAGACTAGGGTAGGAATGGGGGATAGGATTATCTATCTCTTAGGGTTGTGGTGACAAAATGCAGGTAAGCTATTTAGTGCATGCATTAGTTATCTATTGCTATGTAACAAAACACCCCTCCAGCCCCCACCCCCCCACCCCTGAAATTTAGCAGAGTGAAACAACAGACATTATCTCAAAGTTCTGTGGATCAGGAGTCAGAGAGCGGCTGTGCTGGGTGGTTCTGGCTGGGGGTCTCTCATGAGGCTGTGTTCAAGGTGGTGGCCAGCACTGCAGTCGTCTAAAGGCTGGATAGGAGTAGGATCTGCTTCTAGGCTTATGCACACGGCTCTTGGCAGGTATTAGTTCCTTGTCACATGGACAAGGAACTCTCCATAGATGCCTGGATGTCATTGCAACATGACCCGAGTGAGTGATGAGAGAGAGAACAGCCTCTTGGTGGGTGAATGCTACAGCCTTTTTATAACCTAATCTTGAAAATAACATCCTGTCACGTCTCCTCTGTTTGCTATTAGTGAATCACTCAGTCCTGCTCTCACCCAACAAGGAGGGGAATGAGCTCCAGCTCTTTGGAGGAGAAGTAGCAAAGAATTTGTGAGCCTATCTTTAAAACCACAGCACAGTTCTGGGTACATAGTAAATATGCAGTAAATGATTAGATGTTAGGAGTAGTTTAGCAGATAAATTCACTACTTGGTGATTCACTTTCTAGACAGACTTTAGCTATACCCCCATTTTTATTTGGGGAACAAAAGGAATTTGGGGCTCTACAGCAGATTGGAGATTACACCCAGGAGACCTCCACAAAGTGAGGATTTTTTATCTTTCATCTTCTGTCTCTTGGGAGGGAAGATTCTTCCAGAGATCTCCTCTGTTGTGCTGGGTCAGTCAATCCAAAGACTGTAGGAGAGGAGCACACACCGCTTAAAATTCCCTTCTCTGGCGGGGGGCACATCTTCCCGGACACTGGGCGCGGTGTCTTCCTGACTTGGCAGAGGTTAGAAACCATGGGTACCACTGGGACCGGGCAGAGCATGTCCCCTGGGAGGGCTCCCCGCTCCTCTTGCCCCCAGCAATTTTAAATCCCAAGAGCAGAGATGATTTTTTAAAAAATAAATGTATTTATTTCACTATGGAGTGTAACCACAAATTTGGACAAAGGAAAAGGAAAGAAAAATGCCTTCACAAACCTAATATAACTACTGTTGACATCTTGTGAGATGTCCTTTCCAGAGTCTCCCCCGTCTGTGGCTTTCTAGTTTTACATAGTTATAAGTAGTTCACAACTACAGTCTCATGGTCTGCTTCTTTTCACTTGGCTTTGTCACACATGTATTTTTATGGTATGGTCTTTCACCATCTCTGAGAGGTTTTGAGAGCCGTGTAATATTTTATTGGGTGAATGTCCCATGATTCTCTTATTCTTTTTTTCCTCATTAACTCCACAATCGGTTGAGTAATAAAGATATTACTTATTTTTATGTATTGTATTCTGCTGTCAGTATTTTACCCATGCTGCCTTTTAATTTTTATCCTTTTCTTTAAACGGTCACATTAGTTAAGTATGGGCGAGGGGTGCCTGGCTGGCTCGGTCAGCAGAGTGCTTGATCTCGGAGTTGGGAGCTCGAGCCCCACGTTGGGTGTAGAGCTTACTTAAAAAAAAAAAAAAGAAAGAAAGAAAAATTTCACCTGAATCTAATATCACACTGTATGTTAACTAACTGGAATTTAAATAAAAACTTAAAGAAATTAAGTAGACTGGAAATGTTAAACCTTCTCCTCTGGGGAATTACCCCATTGCTTCTGAAGTTGGGCAGTCCTTTCTTTTATTCTAACACCCCCTTGTCACCTCCCGTTTCTGTATGGCTTTTAAAAGTTGCTCTGGAATTGGGGCACCTGTGTGGCTTAGCCGGTTAGGCGTCTGCCTTTGGCTCAGGTCATGATCCCGGAGTCCTGGGATTGAGCCCCGCATCAGGCTCCCTGCCTCTCCTCTCCCTCTCCCTGCTGCTCTGCTTAGTTGTGCTCTATCAAATAAAATCTTTTTAAAAATTGCTCTGGAATTAATTCTGGAGTATGAAATAGGGATTTGAAATGAGATTTATTTTCTTTTCCAAATTACTGACCAGTTTTACAAGGAGAATACCAGGGAAGGCATCTCTACTCAGCTGAACCATGGAGCCGTGCCTTATGAAACACAAACAAGCCTGGCTGAAATTTTGGTGGAATGAACAATTTGGGCAGATGATGGGAGAAGGAGCAGATGTCACATAGTTAGGCGTCTGTGAATTATTTGTTGCAGCACCTTGAACTTTGATAGGCGCTCAGCTGCCTTCAGTGGCTGGTGAGGTGTGATGGGTGTGGCAGGGTTTGACATTATGGGAACAGTCCTAGTGAAAAGATTTGTTTCAAAAAAGGTTTTGGAAAAGGAAGCGGTGGGGGGTGGGTAGGTAATGGGGCCCAAATCTGGTTTACATATCATCTGTAAGAAATATGGTGAACCCAACCCTCTGGGACTAGGGAGAGATCTTTAGATGCTTCCGTCCCCAGGGAAGCTCTGCCAAGTATTGTCACAGGGTAAGCACCTCCCCGGCAGGCTCGGGCTGCCAAGTGTCACTGTTCTAACATGACTGGAGGGAGAGGTATGTGCAGACAGGCAGTGGGCCTGGTGGTTGAGGCCAAGTGGATGTTTCCAGAAAAGGGCCATGGATCCAGAAAGCCCGCGTCCCTCGAATTCTGAGTGCATACAGGGACCCGTAAGAACCGATGAAAAAGCAATCATCTAGGGTCCTGGGCTTTGAAAAAAATCACCGTGATTATTTTCTGTACAAATGCTTTCCGTGGCCTACTCCTACCTGGGACGAAAGTGCCTGACGGCAGTGTAGGAAGGGGGCGGATTCCTGGTGAGGAGGAAGACTGAGAACAGCTAGGGCAACCAGAAAGAGGCATTGTCGTTGTCACACAAATGCAGTTAGAAGTGTCTCCTTGGACATGCTGAGCCAGGCTCCCTGTACAAACACCACGTCAATCCCCTCAGAAAGAATCCTCACTGCAAACATGGGGACAGTTTTACAGAACTTGCTCAGGCAGACCAGAGGCAAGGCGTTGTTCAGGAGTTCAGAGGGCAGGAGCAGGGCAAAGGGAAGGTGCCGGGGAGGAGAGAGAAGACACAGATGCTGGAGATATGTCAAGGAGTGCCGTCTTGGGGCGGGTGCAGCTCTGAGTCCTGCTGCTCAGGCAGAAACCCACGCAGATAAGGTGGCTTTGCAGGAGCTGTCCCGTCTCTGCCTGGTGACAGCAGCCGGGCCTGTGATGATAAGCTGGGCTGGCCCAGCCTGAGTTCTGGAAACTGAGGTGGGGGCAGGGTGAGGCAGAGTGGCCCAGGCCTCAGGGGATCCAGACAGGGAGTCTGGAGTCACATAAGCTCTCTGAGCTGATGTCTTCATCAGAGGCGACAGTCCCACCCGCCCCAGAGGGTTGAGGATGTTAGAGCTTCGGTTTAAAGTGCCTGCCATGAACCCTTTGACAATGAGGACAGCACCACCTGTGACACGGTCCATCCGGTTCATCCGACGAGTAGACCCGAAGGAAATGGGACCGCTGGGTACTTGATGGGGACAGAACCGAGCCAGCCTGGTGCCCAGTGACAGTTCACTTGCAGACAAGCCTGGCTGTGGAAGGCGGCTCCCACCTGGCAGAGGATACCCTTCTCAGGATCCCGCCTCCCAGGCATCCAAGGACCAGACCAGAGGGGAGACCACTGCATGACCACCCCTCAGAGTGGCCTTGGTCATTGTGATGATCTGAGTGGTCTCTGGCAACCATGCGTCGGTGGAACAGAGGGCTGGCTGGGAGCCACCTGGCGGTCACAGCTCCTCCTTGTTGCTGTCGAGGGGCTGGACCGGAGGCCCTGGGGCCTGGGAGCTACTTAGTGGCCCCTGGCCCTGGTCCTCACGGCGCCTGCCCACAATGGCGTAGTCCCGGAGGAGCCCGCTCTCCACTCCGTGCCGCCAGAGGCTCTCAGTCCCCACGAGCCCCTGCATTCTCAGGTACCCCTGCTGGCAGAAGGGCGGCAGCTTCTGGTGTGTTAGGGTGAACAGGAAGCAGGATTCTACACAAAAGCAAAAGGAGATGAATGAGTAAGAGAGGTATGGGAGGTGGGGGTGCCGATGCCCCGGGGCCTCACCCAGGACCCTCCACCCCTTGAGCAGGGGAGCTGACTTTTGTGGGGATCTCACATCTGACCTGAGTAGCCATGGATCTCGTCCCTCCTTGAAGTTCAAAGGAGGGTGCCCTGACATTCTGCAAGAATGAGGCCCCAAATGGAAAGCAAACCACAGAAATGACTCAACTCCCAGAGATCTGGGCCCAACATGATGCTTGGCAGGGAGCCAGTCCCACTGGGAGCTCAGCCACCGAGGAGCGGACCCTCAGCCTTCTCTTCTGGAAGCTGGCCTGGCTGGGGCCGGGAGCTCGGTGGTCAGTCCTGTTTTGAGCTCAGAGCTGCCTGCATGGCTTTATTCCCTCAGCCATCTCTGGGTTGCAAATACTGTGTGCACAGCACTGTTTTGAGCCCTGTGGGGGGGTGGAAAGATAACACTGGTAAACAGCAGAAAGCTGGTACATGGGTCAAGTCAGCTCTATCAGGAAACAGCTGTGGGTATTTATTATTCAGAAATATGAAGAAACCACCAGAAGAACCAGAAGTAGTTCCTTCCGAGACTGAGGGTGGAAGTGAGAAAAAGTCTTTTAGCTAAGTGCTTATGTAACTTTGACTTAAAAAACAGAAAAGATGAAAGAGATAGGGGCTCAGTCTTCTCAGGATGAGACAGGATGGGAAGGAGCAAACGTCCAAAAACTGTCTTAAGTCTTTTATCTCAAAACACCTGGGCACGTTACAAAGGGTGTTGTGAGGCCCACATGGGTGAACAGGCTGTAAGGAGCCACACACAGAGATACTTCTAACTTCATTTCTGACTTTTGGCCCAGATGGCCCCTGGCAGAACAGCCCATGACAAGCCTCTCTGAGCAGGGAGGACGGCAGGTGCAGGGGGGAGGATGGGAGAGTGGCAGCAAGGTGGCCTCTTGGCAAGCACCACCTTCTGATGACATATGTCACCCCTTCTGCAGGGGCCTGGTGGGGGGCAGAGAAGCCCAGCCGAGTCTGGGGCCAGCGCTAACAGCTGCACATCAGCTACGGGGGTGGAGGAAAGCCCACTCTGCCAGCTGGCCCTGAGTTGGGAGGATGCTTCCAAGCTGAAGGCAGGGATGCTTAGTGGCTTGTAGTGTTGAGCAGTGTCTAGGGAGTGGGAGCCAGGAGGCTCTAGGGCCTAGATGATGCATTCGTGGCAGCCGTAACCCAGGGCGGGACACGCTCCCTAATGGGCACGGCCATCTTTGTGTACTCCTGAAACCTTGAGAAACAGGCAGGGATTTTGTAGCTGAGATCTCTAGACCCGCATCGTGTCAATTTCCCAGGTGAGCATGCGGTCGTAGCTGAGTCTGCAGAATGCTAGCACTTCAAAGTTGCTTAGCCCTGTGCTATGAATTACCTCGGAGCATCCACATACATTTAGACAATTAGTCTACACTACTGTTTTAAGCCAGCTCTCTTAACATATACATTTTATTTCCAAGTTGACCGAGGATGTCGCCTGGGGCGACAAGGACACCTGCTCTCTGACCTGCAGGCCAGAGACTGACCATCTCGAACCTGATTTGATTTGAATAATACCTGATATACAACTGGTGTTCAACATATGTCTGCTTAACAGAAAAGGGTAGATATCCTAGGCAGTCAGGGGTTTTTTAAAAAATACTGAAATTTGGCCTATTTATGTCAGTTCTCCCTCCAGGTCCTCAGACTTCTCTTGTCAGAGCTACCTTCCAGTTCACTAATCCTCTCTTCGTCTCTGTCTAATGTGCTACTTTCTCTTTAGGTTGAGTTCCTTTTCTTTTTTAGATTTACTTATTTTAGAGAAAGACAGCATGTGAGTGGGGGGAGGGGCGGAGGGAGAGAGGGAATCCCAAGCAGACTTCTTGCTGAGTGTGGAGCCTCGATGCGGGGCTCGATCCCAGGACCCTCAGATCATGACCTGAGCCAAAATCACAAGTTGGATGCTTAACTGGCTGAGCCCCTCAGGCGCCCCTAGGTTGAGTTTCTAGTTACACATTTTTTCATTTCCAGTTTTATTTGGGTCTTTCTGACTGCTGCCCAATTATGTTTTCAATAATCTCCTTTTTCATTTTTTTACATATTTTAGACAGACTTTGTATCCTCTGTTTGTAACTATTCCAATTCCCATAGTCTTTTTGGTTTGATCCAGCAGTTTGTTGTTTCTGCTAATGCTCCCTCGTGGCATTTTATGTCCTTTTGTGTTAAGTGCCTTTTGTTTGGGGGTGGGGGGTGGGTTCAACTTACTTGGAACTTTGTGGGAACTTTTTGAGCCCTAGTTTTTTTTTAAATTTATTTGAGAGAGAGAGAGCGGGAGGCGGAGCAGAGGGAGAGGGACAAGCAGACTCCATGCTGAGCATGGAGCCCAGTGCAGGGCTCGATCCCAGGAACCTGAGATCATGACCCGAGCTGAAACCAAGAGTTGGTTGCCTAACTGACTGAGCCACCCAGGCACCCCAAGCCCTAGGTTTTTTTTTTTTTAATGTATATTTCTATTTCTCTAGTGTTATTTTATTTTTTAAAAGATTTTGCTTACTTGAGAAAGGGAAAGAGAGGAAGAGTACACAAGGAGAGGGGAGGCGCAGAGGGAGAAGCAGATTCCCACTGAGTAGGGAGCCCAACGTGGGGCTCAATCCCAGGACCCTGGGATCCCATGACCTGAGCTGAAGGCAGACGCTTAACCGACTGAGTCACCCAGGTGCCCCTTTCTCTAGTTTTAAAGTGTTTCTTCACAGAAGACTTGCATTTACTTCTGTGATTTTTACACCATGACGACAGTGTGAAGTTTGGCCTCAAACTCACATGAGTGAAGCTTAGTGGTTAGAAATTCTCAGGGGAGATTTTCCCTTATTCTACCCAGAGCCAAAAGCATGCGTCTCCACCATCTCCCTCTTGAGAGTGTTTTCTGTTTCCCACTTGGGTCACTGAGATCTAAGCTTAAGTGAAGGTCTCTAAACAGGCCTCCCACCCTGCTCCAGCCTTACCTTCCCACCCCCAAGTACTGGTCAGTTACCCAGGCTCTAAGCTACTACTGATGATTGGCAGATATCCCACGTCCAGCAAGGGCTTTATGCTTTTCTTAGAGTTCCCTTTTTTTCCCTGACAGTTCTTTAAAAATGACGTTCTGTTCAGCGACTTTAGCTGCGCCATACTGGGGAGGGTCTTTGTGAACATCTCATCTATCTTGTGGACAACAGAATTCTTGGGTGTGGATTCTAGATGTGAATCCTGAAAACTCCAAAGGGCATGGATCTGTCTGGTCTTTTTTCAACCTTCAGCTCAGTCCCTTCTAGGAACTTAGGTTACCTGCATAGAAGCTTCGTAAATCGGTGTCCAAACAGTTCTCCAGGAAGCGCCTCAGAGGTAGGATGTGCCCCACCGGGGCGGTCCAGTCTGTCAAGAAATCTTCCACAATGTGGTGGATGGCGGTGGGCCGAGGCAGGGCCCAGTCAGCAGGGCGGAACCTCACCTCCTGCTCTGTGGGTAGGAGAGGGGGAGTTGTGTCAGAGCCCGGAGGCTGGGCTTCCCATCCTGGAGCGGACAGCATGTTTCCCACACATCCCAGGTGCTTCCCTTGCTCCCTTGCGTTCAGCTTTCCCGATACACTCCGTGCTGGGCAGCGGCCAGCCTCTTCAATAGCCATCTGTGTGTTTGCAAGGCTGGCACGAGGAAGAGACTAGATCTGTTCCCTGTGGTATCCGAAAGCGGAACCAAGACTGATCACTCGCACTCCGTGTCTTTCTAAGGCGCACATGGACTGAGGTCCATTGTGACTGCTTCAAAACTGCTCTGTGAGGAGACTCAGAGGCCCGAGAGCTCACCTAGTCCAGCTTTGCACCTGGTGTGGGCTCCCTTCTGTGGCGTCCCAGGCTAACAGCCATTAAGCCATGACTCAACCATCCTGGTACTGGGAAACTCGATTTTAGGGGCGACCCATTATACTGTGGGACAGCTTTGACTAGTAGTTGCTTCCGATTCTGAACAGAATCCTGCATTCCTGTCACTGATACTACCTCTGCTTGTTTTTAGAGCATCATCTTCCAAGTGACAGCCCTTCAGTCTCTTAAGCAGGAGTCGTGTTCCCTGGGGGGGTGGGGTGGGCAGGGAGGGTCATCTACTGGTAGCTACTCTGTGCCAGGTACTGTGCTGGTGTTCTATGCTTTTTTGTTGTTGTTTTTTTTTTAAGATTTTTATTTATTTTTTAAGTAATCTCTGCACCCAAAGTGGGGCTTGAACTCACAACCTCGAGATCAAGAGTCACATGCCCCACCGACTGAGCCAGCCGGGCGCCCCCCCCCATTCTGTGTTATGTCATTTATCCTACTGTTATCCCCATTTCTCAAATGAGGAAGTGGAGGCTCAGAGCGTTCAAGTAATGGTCCCTGGCCACACGGCAAGGAAAGCACAGCTTGAGAACACTGCCTAGTTTTTCTGCGTTTTGGCAGCAGGCCTGTGTTGACCACTTCCAGCTCCTTTCCCCGTTCCCTCTGAGAGTTGGTCTCCAGGTCCCCTCCCGCTCCACGCTCGGCCTCCTTTGGAGACACACAGCAAGATGGTCCCTCTTACTATGTGGTGCCTGGAGGAGGTCACAACACTCCATGTGTGGCCTGCCCAGGTCACAGTGTGCGCCAGAATCTGGGAACGCTGTTTCTCATTCCGGGACCTTCTGCCCCATTCGGTTTCTGGGCAGAGTTCCCCAGTGTCCTCTGTCAGCGGGGAGAGTTGTGTGAGAGGTGAGGTGTGACAGGTGAGAGACCCGCCCAGCTCCTGGAAGCCCGCGCTCGGGGGACAGCTGAGGCCCAGCTCACCGGTGGGGAGGTGCCTGTAGTAGTAGATGACGGGATGGAGGAAGTTAGACTGCCAAGCGTCTTCTGTGTGCCCGACAGACCGGTCATAAAAGAACACGTCCTTGTCAGGGCCAGAGAAGTTTCTGCCGTACTCCATGTTGATGACGAAGAGCCCATGCCTGGCCTTCCTTCCTGTAATGGTCTCCAGCTGGGCCAGCATCTGCATGGGGAACTCCTCCAGGTACTCAAATGCCGTGGCGTTCCTGGGGGTAATGGGGGGGTGGCGCGACCCTCAGTGCTGCAGCAGAGCTGAGGGAGGCGTGTGCGTGTGTGTGCGCGTGTCTCGTGTACGGTGCACAGCCTCTGGTCATCCCCACGCGCCTCGTTTTACCATTACTGTCACAGCTGAGCTCTGGCTTACATTGGGACAGATTCCCGAAAACTCTGAGAAACCTGAAATGTATCTGGGGAAGGAGTGCCCCAGGCTGAGAGAACAGTAACAGAAAAGTCCTGGGAGGGAGTGACTGCCTTGGTGTCTTCGAGGGACAGGAAACAGGCCCGTGTGGCTAAAGGGGCCTTGGGCAGAGGGACAGGAGAGGGGCTCGGGGGTAGGTGAGGAGGGCTCCCAGCCCCTGGAGAGTACTGAGCAGAGCTGATTGTGTGTGATTTGTGTTTTGAGAGGACCGCCAGGCTGCTGTGTGGAAAGCAGACCACGGGGCAAAGGTGGGAGGCCGCAGTTAGTTCAGGTGAGATGCTGGGCGTCTGGACCAAGGTGGCCGGTACCGGGACTGGGGAGAGGCGGTCAGCTTCTTGACATAATTTGAAGGTAGAGCTTACAGGGTTTATGGAGAGTCTGAATGTGGCGGATGGGAATGGAAGAGAGGAGTCAGGGTGATGGGATATCTTGCGCTGGGCGCTGTGAATTCCTTGCGTGTCCCTGAACTTGGTGTGTGTGGCCCTCCCCGGCTTTGGGTCAGGCTTCTCCCGCTCTGACTGAGGGATCCCCCCTGCTTCTCACCTGCCACCTGTCCTCGGAGCGCCCTCACCCGCAGTCCTTCTCCCTCCCTGCTTTGCTGGGTGTCGCCTGTGATCTGCCACCTGTCACTTAACTGATAAGCAGCCAACGCAGCCCTGGCCCAAGGGAGCCCGTCGATCCACACTGGTGGTACGCATCACTGCGGTTTACTGCTCACCCGCTTGGTGCCAACTGCGGTCTACCAGTAACCTTTACTCCTGCATGCAAGGTGTGATTATCCCCATTGTGCTGCTGAGAGAAAGGCTCAGAGAGGCTGAGTGACTTGGCCCAGGTCACCCAGGTAGAAAGTGACAGAGCTCGGATGCATACCCAGGTCTGTCTGCCTGCCTGTGGAGCCCGTGGTGTCGATTTCCCTGACGTTTTCCCCCAGAATTGATCTCCCCTGCCGCCCCCCACCCCCCACCCCCCGCCATGCAGGCTTCACCTTAGGAGGGAACCACCGGGCCACTCCATACCTGGAACAGGCAGAGAAGAGCTAGGACAGGGTGAATGGTGAAGCTGGGCTACTCACTCCTTCAACAGGACGACATCGGCCAGCACACCGAACATCTGGTAGAGCCCAGAAGCCTCGTTCACGCGCCGGACGATGGAACTGGTCAGCTGCGAGATGGGGTGCTGGGTGGAGGGCCAGGCGACGCCGTGGTGGCGATGCTCCAGCAGGCGGTGAACAGCACGCACTGAAATCAGGCCAGAGGGAGGGACGGCATGCTGCCCTTAAGATTTGATCTTTCACTACCGGACACTGTTCCAGTCCCCATGGACTTCTTGGAACTCAAGGCACGCTTGCCTGCGTGGCACCAAGAGGATGCCTTTGGAGTGGGGTCAGCGAAAGCTTCCTACTAAGGGCTGGATGGACAGTGTTCTGGGCTTTGCTGCCCAGTCGGTCATGCTACTCAGTTCTGCTTCTGGGGCGAAAGCAGCCCCAGAGGGTAGCTGCAAGGGTGACGGGGCCAGCTCTGGCTCCAGGCACCCACAGGACCCCTCCCAGCTGCTCTGCCAGCCCTGGACCCCATGCCTCCCTCTCACCCCGCTCCCCTGCCCACAGTTCCCCTTTCTCCCAGAGCCCCAGTGGGAGACCCTTTCGGCGCCCCCTCTCCTTCACTGCCTGCATCCGAACTGTCATGGAGTCCGAGTGACCCAAGAGCAGAAAAGCGAGAGCTATCCCTCTACATAGGGTCGGGGCACGCCACAGCTAGTGGAGCGTGGGGAGGGGGCCCTGACGAAAGGGGCTACCATCTCCAGAGAGCCTAGCCCCTTCTGGGGAGCAGGTAGGGACCAGGCTGGAAAGGTGAGGTGGCCCGGGCCTGGCAGAGCTTGGAATGGCACGCCGAGGAGCTCCCCCAGCTCTCGCAGGGGAGGTGGGGAGCTGCAGCAGAGACGCTTCAGCTATAAGCACAGGGAAGGCAAGGTTTTGTTGTTTCAGGAAAGGGTGTCTCAGTGGGGACCGTGTGGCTGGATGGGAAGCCAGAGAGACCTGCAGTGGCAGGAAGACCAGTCAGGAGAGACGAAGAAGCTGCGGGTCAGGAGATGGAGGTGGTGGGCTGACAGAGATACAGCAGGGGGACGGACGGGCTGGGCGTCTGGAATAACCGGCCACGCAGTATTGTTCTGCGCCCTTCGTACTTTCTCTTCTGTTGGCTTTCCTCTGCCTTACTGAATGCTTCTGGTCTCCCCTGGGACCAGTTTCTCAGGTTGGAGCAGGATGAGCGGGATGTGCGTAGCCACACCGGCCCTCCCCCAGCAGGGCCCTCCGCTCAGCTCGTGGTAGTGACCACACAGCGGCCGCTGCCTAAACGCCCGGGACTGTTGCCCCACGTGCCCGAAGCTTAGTGGTTGGCTGTGAGCTTTAGGGTCAGACACGTGTGGATTCAAATTACCCTTCTGCCATCCACTGGCTGGGTGACTTGGGGGAAGTTACTTAAGTTCTCTGTGCCCTAGTTTCCTTATCTGGAAATGGAGTGGAAATGACAGGATCTGCGGATTTCGTATTGGGGAGATGCAGCTAAAGGGACAGACTCTTCCATTCCGCTGTGTTTGTGTGTGTGCGTGCGTGTGTGTATTCGATCTGTGGATGTCCTGGTTTACAGACAGCTAACACTCTCTCTCTGGTTTCCTTCTCTGACCACTTGCAAGAAACATAAAATATATTGTATG